CAAATGTGGAGTTGAGAAGCCCAGGTTCTAGTCCTGATTCTGCTACTGACCAAATTTGGGCACATCTAGCAAATGAGGCTGACTAGATCACCTCTAGGGCAACTGACATGGTTTCCTTCTGCAGCCAAAACAGCAGTTCCGAGATCACAGAATAAACAGGCAAAGGAGGCCGGGCGCGGTGGCTCAAGCCTGTAATCCCAGCACTTTGGGAGGCCGAGGCGGGTGGTTCACGAGGTCAAGAGATCGAGACCATGCTGGTCAACATGGTGAAACCCCGTCTCTACTAAAAATACAAAAAATTAGCTGGGCATGGTGGCACGTGCCTGTAATTCCAGCTACTCAGGAGGCTGAGGCAGGAGAATTGCCTGAACCCAGGAGGCGGAGGTTGCGGTGAGCCGAGATCGCGCCATTGCACTCCAGCCTGGGTAACAAGAGCGAAACTCCGTCTCAAAAAAAAAAAAAAAAAAAAAAAAAAAAAACAAAACAGGCAAAGGAGGGCTCTGGGGCTGCAAGGCAGGGTTCTGGGCCCTTCCCCCGACGTCCTCAGACCTCACCCCTTGAGCCCTCTCCCTACCCTCCAACAAAAGAAACAGAGTGATGTGGTTTGGCTCTGTGTCCCCACCCAAATCTCATCTTGTAGCTCCCATAATTCCCAAGTGCTGTGGGAGGGACCCAAAGGGAGATGATTGAATTATGGGGCGAGTCTTTCCCTTGCTGTTCTCATGATAGTGAATGGGTCTCACAAGATCTGCCGGTTTTAAAAACGGAGTTTCCTTGCACAAGCTCTCCTTGCCTGCTGAGTCCAATTAAACCTCTCTCTTTTGTAAATTGCCCAGTCTTGGGTCTGTCTTTATCAGCAGTGTGAAAATAGACTAATACACAGAGGCATCTACCAAAGCTTGGAAATGAGATTAACTTGCATCTGAGAAGACATCTTCCCACACACTGGAAGTAGGAAAAGAGGGTAAAGATGTGGATCCTCTTTAATGATTTTTAAAATTAAAACAAATGTTTAAAGATACATGCAGAAAGTTATTCATAGCAACATTATTTCTAAGAGGAAAAAAATACAGAGAAAGTGGGAAACAACCTTCATGTTTATCTATAAGGCCTTAGTTAGGTAAATCATGGCAGAATTGCCCATTGGAACACTACCGCCATTAAGATAAAAGAGACCACATCGTGCTACATGACAAGATGTCCATGATACAGTGTTAAGTGTGCCAAAGCACATTGAGTAAAATCCTTAATCCCTTTTATGTTACATGCACACGTGCACACATGCACACATGCACACGCACACACTCGCACACATGCACACGCATACACATGCACACATGCACATGCACAGCCTGAGCACAAGCACAGTAAGTCTGGAAAGAATCCAGCAAATCGGTAATGACGGGGATCCTTGGGGCCGGGATAACAGGGGATTTTCACCTTCCACTTTATACAATTATGAGCTACTGGACTTTTTTTTTTTTTAACAACAAGCAGCATTAGTTTAATCAACAAAAACAATAAAAATATTCCCATTCTGACAATAAAATAACTATTCTAGGTAGATGCAAAGTACTATTGGCCCTCAGAGAAAAATGATCAGGATAAAAATCACTTTGCCATAAAATCACACTAGAAAAAAACACACACAGCAAATTTCCCTCATTCTCCATTTAATATTAATTTTTTTAGAGACAGGGTCTCACTCTATTGCCCACACTGGAGTGCAGTAGCGTGATCTTGCTCACTGCAGCCTTGACCTCCCAGGAGGCTCAAGTGATCCTCCTGCCTCAGCCTCTCAAGTAGCTGGGACCACAGGGGTGACCTGACTAGCTCCCCACTCTCCACTTTAATCATAAACCCTCCCAGGTCAATCTTCTCTCTGCAAATATTTATAATAATGAGGAAGAAGCAGATGAAATTTATTAAGCATTTATTATGTGCCAGGCAGTGTGCTAGCACTTTGCATATATTCTTTCTTTTCATCCTCACGGCATTACTCTGAGGTAAGGGTTATTGCTATTTGCATTGCCTCAGATGAAGAAACTGAGGCTCAGCATAAGGATGCAAGCCCAGGCAGTTGACCCCAAAGCCTGTGACCACAGTCAAAGCTCTCACCACCCTTTTGGGAACAAAGCCCTGCTGAGGCTCCGGATCTCCTCTAAGGCCCTGGGAGACGGCTCCGGGCTCTGCCATCTTTGTACGTCTCCACCTCCGCTCTGCCGATGCTAGCCAGTGCCTTCTGGGTAGAAGGTCCTAGCCCACCTGTGGGGGATCTAAGTCCAGGTGGGATGTAGGCGCTGTGTTCTCTCCCGGGAGCTGATAGGGATATCGGCTCTATCAGCTCCCAGGAGAGAAGGGAGAAGACAGACCTGCAAGTTCTTAGGTCATGTCCACCTTGAGCAAGTGGCATGAGGAAGAAGGCAGGGCTGCTGGGCTTCCTGCGCCCCAGCATCCTCAGGCAGCCTTCCCTCAGCACAATGCTCTAGTAGCTGGGCGTGCAGCTGGTGTGGTGGCTGGCCACTGCCTCACTACTCTTTGGGGTCTCGCACTCCCATCTGCCAACCTTGGCCCCCAAGGGACAGCAGGGGAGCTCAGAGAGGCAACCCGGTTATTCTTGATAGTGGGCCAGCGTCAACTCAGTGAGACCCAAACCCGGCACACCGAGACTCAAAGGCTTTACTGGATCCTGCACAGATACCACTCCTGCCTTCTAAATGAGTATGCCCCACCTAGAGCGTAAAGTGGGGCAACCACTTCAGAGAACTCTTCGACAGTACCTAAAGCTGAGCTATATGTGCCCCGTGACCCAGCGGCCCCACTCCTGGGCACAGGCCCAGTGGAAATGAGTGCTTGTGTTCACCAAAACACGATATCCAAGAATGATGGCAGCAGCTTTGTTTATCATAGCCCAAACCACACACAGCCCACACGTCTGTCAACTGAAGAACAAATAAATCCGGGTCCGTTCATACAAGAGAATACTGCACACCAATGAAAAAGAACAACACGGCAACGTGAGTGAATTTCAGTCACAGGTTGCATAAAAGAAGACAGACACAGAGTAATACAGACTGTGTGACTCCATACAGGTAAAAGGAATCTGTGGCGATAGAGGTCAGACCAGTGGCTACTCTGGGATGCGAATCGACTGGGAGGGGTGTGAGGAGTCTCTGGAGTCTGGAATGTTCCTTATCTTGATCTGGGTGGTACCCATGGGCGTGTACATATGTAAAAGTTCATCATGCTGTATGTTTGAGATATGTGATGTTCACTATTTTTAAGTAACACTATAAAAAAGGTTTTAAAATATATATTTTTTTTTTTTTTGAGACGGAGTTTCGCTCTTGTTACCCAGGCTGGAGTGCAATGGCGCGATCTCGGCTCACCGCAACCTCCGCCTCCTGGGTTCAGGCAATTCTCCTGCCTCAGCCTCCTGAGTAGCTGGGATTACAGGCACTCACCACCAAGCCCAGCTATTTTTTTTTGTATTTTTAGTAGAGACGGGGTTTCACCATGTTGACCAGGATGGTCTCGATCTCTTGACCTTGTGATCCACCCGCCTCGGCCTCCCAAAGTGCTGGGATTACAGGCTTGAGCCACCACGCCCGGCCGGTTTTAAAATATTTTAACTGCACACACAAGATTACAGTCAGGTCAGCTTCTCTAGGCCTCCAGGTAAGAACTGGGGAGAAAAGTGTGATTAGATGGAGTGGTAGAAATATGCAAAGATGCTTCCTTTGGTTGGAGCCTAAGTAAGGTTCTGGATATATTGGTACTAAAAATAATTGAAAACTCTATTTAAAATGTGAATAGACTTTCAGACCATATGTGAGACCTCAAAAATCCTAAGAAATGTCACTCACGAAACAAGACACCAAAAAGAAATCCTAAAGTACGGAACTGCTCCACCTTCCTCCCAGCCACCGGTGATGAGATCCCCATAAGGTCCTGGCAATGTCAGCTCTCATCCACCACCCCCTGCAGGGAGCCTTGAAGGCAGGTCCCTGTAGCCACTTGGGTTCCTCATGAACCTCAGGAGATGCCTCTGCCCTGGGCATGCCCACCCACTTCCCTCCAGGTTCCAGAGATCTTCCTGGATATCACCATGTACATCAGCAGCCTGAGAGAGGGGTTGCCTGATACAACCCTCCCCGCAGCACCATCCCCACTGCAATCAGCATAGTGAGGCTGCCCAAGCAGCCAGCCAGGGACCCAGCACCCCAAGGGCACCTGGTGGGCTGCAGAGAGCAGTGGGAGAGGGGACTCCACTAAGGCACCTCTGATTCCAAGCTGAGCGAGTCATGCTCCTATTCATCAGAATCCTACAGCCAAGAGGGCAAAGCCCAAGCTCATGATCTCAGCAGGCACGCCCTTCCCCGTCTACCCCAGCCAACTTCTCCAGACGCATCTCCTGCCACAGCCCACCCTAACAGGCTGCCCTCCAGTGACTTGCACTTTACCTTTGTCCCTCAAAAAAAGAGAGTCCCCTCATTCTTCCTGCCTTTGCAAAAGGCTCTCCTTCCACCAGAAATGTCCTTTCTCCCACTTAGGACTCCTACTCACCCTTCATGACCCCACACACGAGTACGCATTCACAAGACACCAGGCAGGCTTCTCCACGCACTCTGTCTTCCCACTGCTCTTGGTTTCTTACACATTTGCTATGGGGTGTTACGGTTACCTGTTCACATTTCACTTGACTCTCCACTCTGGAAGTGCTGAACGCCGAGGCCAGAGTCCTAAGAACCAACATGGAGCTCCAGCCTGAACCCTCTGATAGAGGCAAATGGAGATTTTTGTAGAAGAATCAGCAAACTTGGAAGCCCCAGCTCCACTGGCTCCAGTGGAGAAGGAGGGATGACCTTTCTGATTTTCCACAAATAGGGGGGCACTGGACTAGCAGGTCGAATACCAGTGACTCATGGTCCACATCTCCCCCTGCTGGAGTCCCCTGGTCCCTCCTACCTGGGCAGGAGAAGGGAGGATGCAGTACCTACCGGTGCTGTGTTCCGCTGCCCCCACGGATGGCTTGGTCCAGTCTCTGGCTTTGTCGATGTGAAATAGCTTCAAGTCATCTTCATCTAAGGCAATGTCTCCCCAAAAGACAGCTGGGAAGAGAACACATAAGTGAGTGAATTTACAGTGGATTCGCCAAAGTCAAGAAAAATGGACTTGCTAATGCCCCAGAGGGCACTGGGTATTGGGTAGTAAACTTTGGAAGAGACAGCCCATCCAGTAAAATTTCTCCTTGAGCCTAAGAGACAGGGCTGGTAGAGGCAAAGGAACAGCCGGTATTAGTTCTGTGCATCAGAGCCCTGGGGCTGGGCCAACCACCATGAAAATCTAAATCCTAAGTCTGTAAGTTATTTTAAAAGGTCACCTGTCTTATCCTCACTCCAGGCGGCTCTGAGCAAAACCACCACAAAAAGACAGCTGCTTTTTTCTTCTTTATGGTCCCCAGGATACAGAAGAAGATGAACAATGTGATAAATTATACTGTTGTTCATAATTTTTGTTGCCCTTCCCTGGGGGAAGATTATAGTTCCCTGCCCCATTGGTGTCAGGATGGGACACACAGGCTGCTCTAGTTCAGTGTGAGCAGACGCTTTAAGAGCTAGTGCATGATTCACTGTGTCCTCTTTGTCCTGCCCCAGAAGACAAGCGGTGTTCCAGACAGGGTTCTTCTGGGTTCATGCGGATCACCCTAGCTTCTCGTAAAGACGATGTATAGCAGTGTGGCTTATCGGGATGGATATGTAGCACGGGTTAAAAAATGAAAACACTGTTTTTTTGTAGGGGAGAGGATGGAATTTTTTTTTTTTTTAAGAGAAACGGAGTCTTGATCTGTAGCCCAGACTTGAGTGCACTGTCACAATCATAGCTCACTGCAACCTCCCAAGCCTGGGCTCAAGCAATCCTCCCACCTCAGCTGCCTGAGTAGCTGGGACTCCAGGCACGGACACAACACGTGGCTAATTTTGAGAATCTTCTGGTAGAGACAGGGTCTCACTATGTTGTGCAGTCTCAAATACTTCTCCTGCCTGGGCCTCTCAGAACTCTGGGATTACTTATTACATATTATTACATGTTTTCATAATCTTCTGAGATTCATGGGCATTTACTGGAGCACAACCTCTTTAACCACACTAATACAGAAACTGCTATCAGAAATAGTATGTTCTGTAACAAAAATCCACTGTCTTTGGACCAGGTGTCAAGAAAACCGTTACTAGAGGCTGAAAGGAAGTCGTGTCTATTACGCGGTGGCAGTGACGAAGCCTTCGGTAAAAGTGCTGCCTGCCTTCACTTGGAAGGCAAACGAGGAGCTGAACGCGCTATGGTTTCAAATGAAGAGACGGAGTAGGAACATTGACAGTGTGCCTTGGTTGTTATCAACTATGTTTGACAAGGTACTACAAGAAAGAAACGGGCTCAAAAAATGGATAAGTTTTTTAAGAATGACAAAGAATAGAGGGTCTAAAACTTCAGAGTCTTAGAGAGTTGGAAGAGCTAACCTATTCCCATAACTACATGGGGAAAAAAAAAGCTGAGGACTTCGAGCAACAAAGGTTGATGAAAATTCAGCTTTGAAAAAGGCAGCCCATCCAATAAAATTGGCTTTCTTTTTTTCTGCAATAGATATAATCTTTCTTTAATCGATGTAATCTATTGAAGGAAGAAGAATAAAATTTGTGGAGCAATGAAGAACCAAGCCCTGTACCCGACACATAGATGCTTTCCCTGCGGAGATCAAATATAGCTTTTGAAATCTGAAACTCAATAATCCATCCAAGCTGTCCATGTTATAAAATCTATAAACTGGCTCATGCTTCTCCCTGTACTTGACACATAGTGGTGATTTCTCTGCAGAGGTTAAATATAACTTTTGAAAATTTGAAACCCACGTCATCTATCCATGCTGTCCAGACTGAAATATATGAACTGAGACTCATGCCCCTCACAGCACTCATTTTTATATTTCTAGGTGGGAGTTTCCCAGATCTCCATCCCCCTTTCTTATTTAGCCACAAGCCATAGAGGCTTGTAGGGTAGTGTTGAAAACAGCCTTTATAGAAAATTGGAAGTTTCTCTAAAAAGTAACTTAAATTTATCATGAGACCCAGCAGTTCATTTCCTAGGGATCTTCCCCCCAGCAATTCAATTCCTAGGGATCATCCCGAGAGAGATGAAACATATGTCCATACAAAGACATACTCAAATGTGTATGGCAGCCTTCATAATAGTCTTAATCTTGAAACATCCTAAACATTCATCAGCTGTTGAATGGACGAACAGGATGTGACATAGCTATACAATGGAACTATGTAGCAATTAAAAGGAACAAACTATAGACACATGCTCCAACAGGTATGAATCTCAAAAAACATGTGAAATGAAAGAACCATTGCCAAATACTACATATTATGTAGTATTGAATCACATATTATGTGATTCAATTTATATGAAATGTCTAGAAAAGGTAATTTATAGAGCTAGAAAGATTTGCAATCACCTAGGGCTGGGGGCAGAAACAAGGATTGACTGTAAATGAACATGTGGAAATTTGGCGGGTGCTGGAAATGCTCTAGAACTGGATGGTAGTTATGGTTACATAACTATGAATTTACTAAAATCACACATATGCTTACAATAAGTGAATTACACAGTATGTAAATTATACTGAGGATGTCTGTTAAAGAAAAAACAAATTCAGTCTTGTAGCAAGAACCAACAAAGATGATACCTGGTAAATTCTTTCAGTTGCGAAATAATTGTTCAGATAAAGAAAACTAAGAATGTGTTTCTCTTTCGGAAGTTTCATAAGTGCAAGGCAGCAGTAATTAAGTCTGGAGAGAGACAGACATGTTTAGAAAATAATTGTATGTGGCTATGGTACACAGAGCTGAACCAAACAGATAAGAAGATGACTAATGTTGTAGAAAAGTATAGGACCCAAAAAAGTCATTATCATGGCCTATGAGAGGCTGCCACTGTTTGACACTTAAAATGACATAAAATTACCCTTGGGCCCCCATCCTTGCATGGGAAAGAAACAGGCTGAAAAATCTGCCCCCTAAAGGGCATAGTCTCTGATGCTCTCTTCAGATATGGTCAATAAGAATAAGAAAACAGGAAGGGTGGGACCTCCCAGAGTGTGGAGCTCAAAGGCACGGAGGGAAAAGGAATGGAGAGCTATTCCCAGGAGGTGGCATTGGGGCCTCTTGAAGGAACCTTCCCCATCCTAGGGGTCCCTTGCAACATGTGCCCAGCCTGATTTCAGAACTCTTATGGATCAGTCACTGTTGTGCCTCCCAATCTTCCTCTTTCCAGATGGAAGTGTTTGTTACAGTTATCCTGTCCCTTATCCATCATTGTACATTGAGTATGTATTTGGTGGGCTGGGCAAGTATATGATTGTTTTAAAGTTCACAAATCTCTGGATGAAGAGGAGTCACCTCCTGACTTAGCATAGAGATGATCACAAGATCTTGGAGTTGGAGCCTGGTGCCATGACTGGACAGGACTCTGGGGAAAGGTAAGTGTGTTGTATACATGGGAGGAGAAGGAAAACAAGTATTTGTCACAAGATGGGAGGAGGCCTGTGACAGTCTATTATTGTTCACTTTTGCTGCTTCTCCTGGGTACAAATTATAATTCCCCCTCTCTCAGATGTCAGGCTTCACCATGTGATTTATTTTTCTTATTATTTTTTTTGAAATGGAATCTCTTTCTGTCACCCAGGCTGGAGTTCATTCCCGCGATCTTGGCTCACTGCAATCTCTGCCTTCCAGGTTCAAGCGATTCTCATTCCTCTGCCTCCCATGTAGCTGGGATTACAGGTGTGCAACACCACGCTGGCTAATTGTTTTGTATTTTTAGTAGAGACAGGGTTTCACCATGTTGACCAGGCTGGTCTGGAACTCCTGACCTCAAGTGATCCTCCTGCCTCGGCCTCCCAATGTGCTGGGATTACAGTCATGAGCCACTGTGCCTGGCCCACCACGATTTTTTTTCTGATTAATGAAAGTGAGGGGAAGTGACATGTGTCATTCCCAAGCAGAACCTATACGACCCAGCACATTGTTTGCCATGTTCTCTTTTCCCAAAGCCATAAGACAAAGAATGTTGCAGAAACAGACTGCTCTATCAGGCAAAGACACAGAGCGAAGATGATACGATCCAGGCTGAACACGTAACATGAGACAGAAACTTCGGTGGTTATAAACTATGGATACTTAGGGATTATTTAATACTGTATCATAATCTAGATTATAATGATTGACACATACGGGCTTTGCAAAATGATCTGTATTTGTATTCTGGCTTGGAAACTTACTAGCTCTGCAACCTCGCACAAGTTACTCAGCCTCACTGAGCCACAAATGATTCATTATAAATAGAGATAATATTGTCTATTCTGGAAACCTGTTGAGAAAATTAAATGAAATCATGTACACATAAGTACACACACACACACACACACCCCACGGCTTTCTTTTTTTCTTCAACAGATACAATCTTTCTTCAATAGATGTGATCTATTAAAGGAAGAAAAATAAAATTTGTGGAGCAATGAAGAACCGAGCCCTGTACCCAACACATAGATGCTTTCCCTGTGGAGATCAAATACAACTTTTGAAATCTGAAACCCAAGTAATCCATCCAAGCTGTCTATGTTACAAAATCTATAAACTGGCTCATGCTTTTCCCTGTACTTGACACATAGTAGGTGATTTTTCCACAAAGGTCAAATATAACTTTTGAAAATTTGAAACCCGCGTCATCCATCCACGCTGTCCAGACTGTGAAATATATGAACTGAGACTCGTGCCCCTCACAGCACTCATTTTTATATTTCTAGGTGGGAGTTTCCCAGATCTCCATCCCCCTTTCTTATTTAGCCACAAGCCACTAGCGGCTTTTAAAAGAAACAATTGTGCAAAAGAATAAAGTTGAATTCCTACTTCACACTATATACCAAATTTAACTCAAAGGGAATCAATGACCTAAATGTAGGAGCTAAAACCATAAAATTATTTGAAGAAAACATCAGCATAAGTCTTATCATCTTGATTTGGCAATAGCATAGATATAACATCAAAAACGG